TTGGTTGTTTCTGTGCACATGCATGTGAGATGAATGCATGTATGTCACACCAGATAACAAAAAAAAATTTTAAAAATCTGTTCTCTAAGTTCAGCACTGGGGAGCTATTTTGGAGGAAGAGATTTATGATTTGCTATAATATTCTTGCTCATGTTAGTTTTAAAGAAGAATAAATGCTTCTCCCAGTTCAGACCCCACTGAACTGTGTGTTTCTGCTCCTCGCATCATGGGGATTGGTCTTAGAGAGTTTTAGGGAGGGAATGTGTAGGACCCAAATAGGGAAGCCCACAGAGTCTTCCACCTGACCCAGCTTCTGTTTGCCAAAGCGGTCCGTTATTCCGATAGCTCAGGGTGTAAGATTGCATTTATTAAACCTTGCACAGCACTTGTACTTCTGTAATGAGAAGTCCTACAGAAATGTCAGGTATTGACAAGATTATTTTTTTAACTTAAATATTAATAATTTTAATCTTAACTATGTTTACTTTTTAGGCTGGCTTTTCTCAGGGACATTTTATTCATAATAGTACTTCATTTACTGTGGATATGCCTGGAATACTTTCATTAAGGAATGACACAGAACTGGACAGGGAGACTACATCCGGATTCACTTTACAAGTAACTTTGAGGATAGACTCTGCAGCTTTGGCTTATTTCTACTACATTCCCTTGAAACCTTCTTTTATCTTCATCAGATGGTTACAACAGCAATACAGTTGACTAAAATTCCATTTTTGTTTCTTTCTTTGGCAGGTATGGGCAGTTGATACCGAAATGAATGGGCTTAATTCAAGTGCCTTGTTCCACATCACTGTTCTGGATGTCAATGATAATAACCCCGAGTTTCAGATGCAACCATATGGTTTTGTGATTCTGGAAGGAGATTACATGTTGGGTGCTTCTGCTAGAGTTGGACATGTGACTGCTACTGATTTGGATGAGGGAGAGAATGCACGGATTACTTATTACTTATCAGCTGAGGATGGGGATAATCCATATAGCATCCTACAGGTAAGGATTTGGATATGCTGAAAACAATATTTGGATACTGCTTGTTATGAAGTTACTTGACATACTAAGATACATCACATAAAAAGAGTAGGCAGTAACCATTCTAGTACACATCAAAACCAGCAGGTGCTCTGTAGTTTGGAAATACAAGTCGATGTCCAAAAACTAAGACATACTGGTCAGATGTTGCTTGGAAACTGAACTATATTTGTCCAAAGGAAAACAAGATTTCATCACTCATCTCTTTTGAGAACTCGATGTACAAGAGTTATCAAAACGATCCATACATTGAACTGTATTATCTTCTGTAGGATGGAACCGTTTTGGTTACTGGCTATGTAGACCGAGAAACTAAAGAGAAGTATGACCTGCTGGTGGTGGCATCTGATAACGGAGTACCTCAAAGGCAGGTAATAGAGAGGAACACATTCTCCTTTATTTGCACTGCCCTTTTATTCATAAATGTAAGTGTCTGTTCATTTTCTGAATCATGGTTTTCTCCTGTCACATGCCAGAATTTCACATATGTCAGCATTCAAGTATTAGATGTGAATGATAACCCTCCTCAGTTTACGAATGCACAATACTCTGCCAATGTACGTGTAGCAACAGCAAAGGAAGGAGTGTCTGTACTATCTGTGTCTGCTACTGACCTTGACACTGGGAACAATGCTGTTATTTCATACAGGTAAATTTCCGTGAGGTTAGTAAGTATCTTTTGTTAAAGAAACAGAAGGGTTTTTTTATTTCTCATAAAGTATTTTTATTGGTCATAGACCTTCATAAAAGCTGTGGCTGCCCCCTCCCTGGCAGTGTTCAAGGCCAGGCTGGATGGGGCTTGGAGCAGCCTGGTCTAGTGGAAAAGGTGTCCCTGCCCATGCCAGGTGTAACTAGTTGATCTTTAACATCCCTTCCAACCCAAACCATTTTGTCATTCTATGATTTTACAAGTAGAATGTAACGATTTTTAAACTTAGGAAAAAAAGTCATTACTCTGTGTTTTAGAGCTTATCAAATCATGATTATGCCGTAAGAAAGAGAATGCAATCAAATGATAAACTTAGCAACAAGAACCGAAAGCCAAGACTTGTTTGAATTCCTGAAATTCTGAATAATATGTTAGAGTTTGAGTAGGAAGTTAAATGAATCTCTGAGAATGATTATCTCTTCACACATCTTCTGTTTGCTGGGAGGAGAAGATCAAGAATTACTAACTTTCATAATGCACTATGCATGAAAACATTAATCAAGAGAGATTTTTATGAGCCATATATCATGGAAAATATCAGGATACCTTGACATGAAAAGTATAGATTGAGAAGGACAGATGAATGAGTCAGTAAACTGTAGCTGTTTAAAACTAGTGTGTTGAAAACCAGTATTTTTAGCTATGGGATAGCATTCTACCTTAAACACATTACTTTTTCTTGTGAGCAGTTTGCAGAATACTAGGAATTAGCAGGTCTGCAGTCTTCAGATGAATGTCACCTGGAATTTTTTACATTGCCGAGTACGCAGCATCTGCCTTCTATTCATGGGAAGATCAAAGGCTTAGGGTATAATGGGAACTGAAGGCATGAATGCTGTCTTTTTTTTGTGATGGAAGACATACTTGGAAATAAAAAGTCCAATATATTTAGCCTAATGACACAGCAATTAAAACCTGTTGCTTAGCCATTCTTTATAAATAGGAAGATACTGTCTGTCGAGTGCTTGTTACAGAAGTAACAGCAAGTAGATGGTACTTCTAAGGTCATTAATATTAATGTTTTACTGATTTCTCTTTAATCAGCCTCATGAACCATTCTGATGATTTCCATATGAATAACTGCACTGGAGAAATCACACTCAGCAGTAACTTGGATCATATCACAGCTGACACAGTTGTTACACTGGTAGTTATTGCTACTGATCATGGAGTTCCTCAGCTTACATCCAACGGTAAGTGTTGTCTTTTCACCACCCCACCCCCCCCGCCCCCTGACATGCAAATTAATCCCATCACTGTTGAGTCGAAGTGAATTACGGCTAGAATCTGTGTGAACTTTCAGCAATGATGAATATTTGCTTTTTACCCTTTGATTTCCTCCCAGGTGATCATATTAACAGAAAGCTTGATTTAGTAATCCTGGGTAGAAATAAATTTTTTTGTATTTCTTGCAGTGGTGCTTATGGTACAAAACCCGGGACTTTGTAGCAGAAGCCACTCTAAAAAGATGTATTAAAATAATATTGATAATGTATGTTCCTCTTTTAGTTTTCTTTTATTTTCTTAGAATTAGAAACATTTAAACACATTAGAAACTGGCAAATAACCTTCAAGCAAGCTTCTGCTCTTTCAAAAAATATTCAGTCACACTATTTTGCAGCTTTTTCACGTATTTTTAGGGGTCAGCTTTGATTTATCATGAACAGAAGAAACAACGGATTTTCTTAAAATAGGGTGAGCAGCCATGACAGAATTTGCACTCGTGGTTTTATAAATATCCCTTCTCTTTTGTTACAAAGCAGTTTAGCATAAGATTTTTAAGGAGTGGAAAACACCTGCATATTCTATTGGCTTCAAACTGGTGATCCTTGCTCTTCTATCATATTGAAGCAGCACTTCTGTGATCAGTGAAGTGGGGCTATTCTGGAACATTAGTTAAGTATAAAAGGCATCATGTTTTGTGTGTCACGTATTAGTCCTTATTACTATAGTTTTTATTCTTCCTTATTCCTCTTTCCTACATGCCAGTTTCTGTCATTTTCTATTAGTTCCTCAAAAATTTAGGGAAATAGAGCACAGATGTTGATCATTTTAGCAGCAACCTCACTATTTTAATTTGTTTTCTCTTGTTAGCCTCTGTTACTCTCTACTTGCTGGTAAATGACACTAGCTTTGGACTGGCTTTTGATAGCTCCAGCTACGAGTTCAGCATTCAAGAAAATGAACCGTCAGGGACTGCTGTTGGCTCTGTGAAGGCTCTGACTGGAAGCATAGCTGTACAAATAGTGTATTCTCTGAAATCTCATACGGACAAGTTCTCTGTTGGTGACCAAGGAGACATTGTGGCTCTGGCCATGCTGGATCGAGAAGACAATGACGTATACAGTATCATTGTAGAAGCTGTTGATTCTGTGGTGCCACCCAATACAGCTGTTGCTTTGGTACAGTATATTGCATTTTAAAATATTTTTTAAAAAGGAATATAAAATGCTTTTTAAAATATATTAAAAATCAAGCAAGATCCAGGTAAGTGTCATCTGTTATGCAAGCATGAGGATTTTGAGAGCCTTTTGTTTAATTTCTTTTTTTTTTTCTAAGGAGATAATACCATTTTTAAATATTATCAGCTTCACAAATTGTATCACTTCCTGGGAGTTCCTCTGTGAACAATCCATAACCAGAGAGAGTGATTAATACTGAAACTGATTCTGTGCATAGTTCTGTCAAATGCATGAGGCAGATGAGCCAGAAAGCCCCAGCTTATTTCTTCCAATTAGAGTATATATCTCACTTTCAGCAGTGGAGAATAAAAAAAATAAAAATACTGAGATGCTGAAGTCGTGAAAATACTCAAATGCTGGAAAATGCTGAAGTTGTTATATATCCCTTTGTTTTGGGTTTTTTTTTGTGTGTGTGTTTTTTCCTATAGGCTTCTGTAGACTAAAATGAAAAAAAAATTCTCCTTTGGATACTGTTTCTGCAGCTCAACTATGTATCTCTCTTTGTTTGTTGTTTTGGGGTGTGTGGTGTTTATTTTTTTTGTGTTTTTTTTTTTTTTTTTTTAAATACAGGTAACTGTGAGAGTTAATGACATCAACGACAATCCTCCAGTTTTCTCGACATTGATTCAAACTAACCTATCAGCTCCTGAGAACGCAGCCAGTCTAGACTTGGGTGTATTTTCTGCTACTGATCTGGATATAGGAGTTAATGCGCTTATAAGCTACTCTCTGCAAGACGATTTTGCTGGATTGTTCCATATTAACAGTTCCACTGGCAAGCTGATGACAAAAAAATCATTAGACAGAGAGGTGATGGACAGCTATGAATTGAAAATAATAGTAAGTTGACAAATTTAATGCAAGTTCACAAAATTCTCAACCTAAAAAAGAAAATACTGAATCATCACATGACAAACACTTCATTGTAATGAACACCATTAGAATTCATTAATGAATTTTGACTGTTTATGTTTTGCACACAGAGCTTTGTTTTCTGCTGTGTAAATTGGTATTAATGAAAAAATGACATGTGTGAGCATCAGATCTTAAAGGTCATGGTCACATAAGAGCTTACTGTGAAATCTGCAGAGCATTCCCGAGTCCATTATAGATCATGCAGCCCCCATACTGCTGTATTGCATTTACTGCTTTGTCAGTCCATATTGTTTGTGCCTTTCCCTTATTTTTTTTCATTTTTCAAAATATATGTACTTAGACCTTTTTAAAATACCTGAAATATAGATTTCCAAGTTACAAAACAAGAGAAAACATCAAGTTTCATCCAATGTCCACGTGGGTATCTATTTATTCTAACTGATTTCATTGCTTTTTACTGCTATCAATCAGTTAAATTATTGTGCATACAAAGAACTGTTCCAGCACTGGGAATCAAGTACAAATAAATTTTTAAGATTATCTTTATTGCTAACAAGTAATTTAACAGGTCAAGAAACTTGTGGAAAGCATTCAGGACAATAAGGAAACATACTAAAATTGGAACAGTGTCTTCTGAAAATTTTAGAAATAATAAAAGCGAACACGTTTTAAGACTAATTGAAATTTGTGCATGCGTACCTATAGATAGAATATCTCTGTGGTGGATGTTCATGCAACGTAAAACTGACTGTGAATTTGCCACGTGCTAGCTAGTCTTCACAGCTTGCTTTGTAGACACTTCAAACCCTCAAAATGCAAGGGATTTCCTTATTCTTTGAAATGCCAAATCACAGACATGAATCTGTGTACCATGGGTTTATCTTGATTAGTGACACATCTGATCATGTGACATTTGATCTGGATCCAGGCTTGAGCTTTTGAATAATTTGAAGAAATGAGGCAGAGCATGTGATATGGTGAGGATACCAGCTGCAGTAAGACATGCAACATCTGATCAAGTACAGGGCTAGAGTAATGTTGTTGGGTGATAACCTGTCCAGCAGAAAGTCTTCTGGGACAAAGTTTCACCATTTTTGAAACAAAATTGAACTGGTAAAATAAGTTTGTATCAATGTAGTTGTGCAATTAATCACAAATTATTTCTTCACAGGCCAGTGATTCTGGCAAACCATCGCAATCTGCAAGCTTAGCTCTAAGCATCACTGTAGAAGATGTGAATGATAACCCACCAGTGCTCCCCCAGAAATCGTACTCAGTGACTGTAAAAGAGAATGAGCCTCCACATGTGGTATGTGGCGTAAGAATAAATGGGCTGTTCTACCGTTGTTTTCCTTATGAAAACTTGTAAATGGTAGTAATCTATGATGACTGTACATTGGTGAACGTATTTTTTTACTTGTTGGAGTCTGTAAAATCACACAGCATGTTCCTTTTATATGACAGTGGAGTGCCTATCCCACTGACCTTTCCTAAAGCTCTCTTTGTGCTGCTTCCCCTTTCCCTCTTGTCCCCAGCAGTGATGCCATGCTGCACGGATCTAGTTTTCAGAGGACCTACAGGCAACATGTTTTAAAGATGCTGTAGATGTTGTGCATATATCCAGCATCCTCCCGTTCTTAAGGTTTTCTGTCTTCTCCCAGTGTGTCCATTTCTGACTCCATATCAGCCTTGCAGCTGTGAACTAATGGTTTACAGGAAT